AAAAAAAAAAAAATTATTTTGAACCTTATACAAGATGAACATATTTATCAATAATGCAAAAAATGAAAATATTATTCCTGTACTTATTTGTGTGCCACTATCTGTACCGATTATAGCATCCATTTGTACAGAAGAAACTATTTCTCTAGAATTATCAACACGTTTATCTTTTTCTACTACTGTCAATAATCCTTTAGTTTTCTCTTTCTCCGAGATCGTACGTAAGAATCCATCGACACCAAAAACCGTAGGATTTAAACTCTTAATATATTGTATGAATGAATTATTAAAATATTCAAGTAATGATATAAAAGTCGTGTTATTATTGCTTTTATACTTTTCTAAGTATTGTATATGTTGTCTTAAGGCCTCAAATTTCGAAACATTTGGTGCTTGGGTGCTAACAAATATGTTATATTTGTCATTTAGTATATCAATATCCTTAAACATTTGTAATATATCTTCATTAAGATCAATAGGATAATCACTACAATGACCTAATAAATTTGAAATCATATTGAAGTTTAGGGATTCGCTTAGATTCTTCATTTCATTATAGCATATTTTTGGGTCATTACAAGGGCATTTGAATTTTTCAAATAGATCTTTTAGCTTATAATGTAAATATTTACAACCTTGTTCTAGATATGCTTCGTCCTTGGATATATTAATATTTATATAATTTAAATAATAAAGAATATCCATACAAGATCTATTATAATCCTGCCCATTAATATTACATGCTTTTTTTATACTCAATTTATTACAGTAATTTGAATAATCATCATAAGGTTTATGTTTTTTATCCTTAGCATGTTTATTGAAGTCATTCATACATTTGGGAAATATATCCTTAAAATTAAACTAAATATGCATGTTATTAAATATGCAAAATTATTAAATCTCGTTGAAAAAACATATTTCTTATTTTTACGAATTTTATATTTTAAAATTAGTAATACTAATTATAACACTATGAGAATGTTCAAATATGTATTTCTATTTACCGTCGTAGATTCACTCATTATTCTTTATAACTTCTACTTAATACAATTAATTTTAAATATAGTAAACTTGTAATATTAAGAATAAAGAGAAAATATACTATATTCATATATTATATAATAATATATATATTTTATAAAATTTACAAATACATTTTCAACCATATTTTTATTTTACTCCAATTTTAGTTTAATTTATTTTAATATTCCTCGTGCATCATGAAAAGTACATTTTTTTATATAAATAACTATTGTAAAAAATTAATTAGAAAACTAGACAATGTATAACTGTATAAACTAATAAACACTAGTTATATATTTTTTGTCTCATGTAATACTACTATTATAAAAAAGTAGTTATTCCATGAAAGAAAAAAAAAATAATTCATATTAATTTAAACAATAATATTATACCAACATATTTATATATATATATGTATTTAATTTATTTTTGCAAGTATATCTATAAAATATAAATTCTTAATTCTTATGGTTAAAATAATTGTATTTCTGTCATTCTTACGTAATACATTTATAACTACAATATTAGGACATAATTTGCTTAAACTATGCTTAAAAAATATTATTAAATATGCACTAATGATATAATATTATATATAATTCTATTCGAATAAAAAAAGTAATTTTAATTAATATTATAATCATATATATATGCATTTAATTTTTCTTAATTACTTTATTTATTGTGCATAATTTGTTTTATCATATGAGCAGATTTTATAATATAGAAGATAATAAAATTACCACATAAATACATATATTTTTAATGAAAAATATAAGCACAAAATTAAATTGTTGAGTATGAAACTCATTGAATTTTATACTCATATGATTTATTGTGTAAAATAATGAAAACATTAATAAAATACTTAGTTAATGTCTATGAAAAATTATTTTTATGATATAACAAATTTTGATATTCACATTATATACCACTAATCAAATTAAATTAGATTTTAAGCTTTTTTTAATATTTATATATTTTTTTTCTTTGTGAAGTTTAATAACAATATTTATACATTTACTCTATGATAAATGAAAAATATATACGTATCATGTTTTAGGGTTTAGGTTTAATTTTTTGGGTTCATTCATTTTGTTCAGGTTTAAAGGTTCTGTATTTACATATTTTTCGGAACACTCTTTCTATCATTAATATTTTTTTTATTTGGATCAAAATTATTTATAATATATAACTAATTAGGCTACTCATTATATATTTAAAATTTTATTCAAAATAAATAATATTATGTAATTGAAGCATAATATAAATTATTATAATAAATTCACGTATACATGTTTCTACATATAACTTTCATGAGTATTATTAGTAGATTACGTATATTGCAACAAATTCAATTAGAATAATAGTGTTAATGTTATAATTAATATATATTTATAACATTTACATTTATGGGAAGCTATTTCATCTACTTTATTATTATAATTATTTTATTTATTATATTAGCATACACAAAAAGCTTATAATTTTGAGTAAATAGATTTATTTTATAATTTCTCTTTTATTATTAGAAAGGAAAGTATATTTTTTATAAATATCACTTAGTTTTATGCAATATATGATTCAAAATAATATTTGTACACTCTAACGTAATAATTTCTTAGTGTTCAATATAATGTTAGAACACATTTTATGATGTTAATCATACATATATAATAAGAATAATGTGAATATCATTACTTTAACGTTATTAAAAATTGTATAATCCATGAATTCTACTGGAAAATATCGTTTGATTTGTACTTCTAATACTATGATAGAAATATATAAGAATATTAACATATAAATATCTTGCATAAGACGTTTTATTAAATTTATAGGTTATATTGTATATTTTTTACAGTATATTTGAAATGATTATTTTTTATATTTATAAATTATAATATAATATGAATTATTTTGTATGAATAATAATTTTCATATAATGTGTGAACAATTATAACTTATAACTGTTTTTACCTTAATTAATGTTAATTTTATATTTCAGCACATTAATTGTGGCAAAAATATAGTTTTATTACACCAGAATGTTATAATTACTACTAAATTAGGTGATGACGACAAATATAATGTATTCTATATTTTATTTTTTGTTTAATATATTTATTCTCCCTATTACAAATTCGTTAAAAAATTATCTTAAGGAAAAAAAAATACATAATTATTTTTTGACATAATATGAAAATATCATATAAGAGTATTTCCCATTTTTTATTCGTTTTTATTAATACAGGTAACAATATAATGAAATAACAGAAACAGTAATATTCTTAGACAAACTATGAATTGTATAATATACATAATCTGAATTAGTAATAGTGTATTAAGGAAAAAAAGAAAAGTATATAAATATATTAACATATCATATTAAAATAAAATAAATTATATTTATATACCCATGAGAAAAAGACATTTAATACATAATTGTTTCTTTATATTTTCAATGAAAAATTATCTATAAAACGTATATAATATAATTAAAATATAATACTTTCTCAATGTCTTAAATTATATGTTCAATTATATAATATCATATGTAAACATGATTATGACATGCACTAATTTTTATGGGTATGAATTTATAAAATTCGACACGTTATACATTTATTCTAAAAGGTCGTACTCCTGAAATATGTATAATGATTTTTCATTTTTTATTTAATTGTTACATTTTTTATTGGTAACATATACAAATGCAATAAAATATTATTTTGAAAAAAATACAAAAAAATAAAAAGAATTTTATATTAATATATTTTTAAAAGTCATATATTAATAAAAAATGATATACACATTGTTTATGAAAAAATATTAAAAAGGATATAATACAAAAATAAAATCCAATAAAGCATGTATATTGTATCTATAATATGAACACAATTTTGGATATACAATTATAAATTTTTAATTGGTTCAATAATTCCCTGATATTTGTATGCTTCTTAGTGCTGTTTAGAGTAAAATTTATTTACCTTTAACTGTAGGCCTATAAATTATTATAACCAAATTTTAAACTAATATATAATTTATAATTACATACCCAGTACTGTGTAAAATATATATTTGAATTTTTTTATATCTGTAGAATATTTGGAATACATATTTTTATATTATTGTAATATATTAATTATTGAAACTTCAATCAAGTTCCTTTGTAATATATAGTATGTCATTATAGATTTTCCTTAATTAAAATTCGTATATATTAACAATATAAATACAGTTAAAATCATTTACTATTGACGATTTTCTTCTGAATTAATTGTGATATATTTGCTCATCTGCTAGCGTGTTATGTAAATAATAAAATTATTATTTTTTTCTAAAGCACTAAATTAGACATATTTATGATTATAATAAGAGAAAATAAATATTTCTCTATTTATCAGACCCCTTTGTAACGTAGAAAAATTAAAGTAGAATTAGAAATATTTGTCGGAGTACACTAAACTTAGAATAATTTGGGAAAATGATTTTTAAAAAAATTATCATAGATATTCCACACGTTATCGTACTAATGCAATCGCCTACTATTAGTTAACAGGCATTTATAATAATTTATTTTTGAGACAGATAGGATGATATAATTGTATGTATATATATGCGTTAATAACAATTATATAAAAAGTTAAGGGTATTATAAGTATAAAATTAATGAGTAAAAACTATGCAATGATAAGTTTGCAAAGAAAAAAACCATAATATAGTACAAGAATTTTTTGAATTATATATACGTTAAAATTGAATTAATATATATTGAGAATTATATATTTGTTTTACACAGTAATAAATATATTAATATATTATTAAACATTCAATATCTGTTGTACTTATATAAAAGAAGGTGGTTTATTAATATAACTATTTAAAATTGTTAAAGTAATAAATTATAGTGAATTCATATATCCATTTTTGAAAAACATCGTTTTTTAGCATCTTCTTAACAATAGAAATAAACTTTGACAATGATAAAAATGAAGTTATTATTGTATATATAAGAAATTCATTTTTTTTCGTACAGTTCATTGCAAAAAAAAATTTTGACTTACGTATAATATGAAGAAAAGCAAAAATAAAAGTATAACACCTGGATTATGGCCTTTAGTATATTATTTTTTTATATATTATTGGTTTTAACATTTTATTAGCTGAAATATAAATTTCTAATAAATCTATTTCAAAATATCTTGTTATAATTTTCAGAGAACATTGGTGCTGCATCTCACTTAATTTATTATTTACAATAAATTCATTTAATTAACTTTACTTATTATTATGTTAATCGTCATTATTTCATACTCTATTGGATTTATGAGTTCATGTGTTCTCATTTTCTTAAGTTTATTTTTTTTATATGCTAAGCTTGATTTTATTCATAACACATTTTTTTAATGGATAAGTATTTTTTCAATAATTATGTAACAATTTAATGTTAATTTGCTCTTTTTTAAAATAAAATACATAAATCTCTTTTCAAATAATAAGAATAGCCCAGTTAATATATAAACTTATATTGGTTTGTAATATGAAATTATTTTCATAAAAAATATAACAAGAGAATATATATTTAAGGTCATAATATTACATCATATGTATGATAATGTTTTATAACATAAAAAAATATATAATTTTAATTATTTTACTAAAATTAAGTAAATTAGTAATTTCTTCTATGCTGACATTCATTAGTTTACTTATACATTCATTAAATAAAGCATTAATTATATTAACGTATTTAAAATATTAAAAAAATACTTAATCAGTTGTAATGTTAAATTGAATAGGATATAAAATTTATTTATTATTTATTGGAATATTTGTGCATTTCGCATATATACAATTATATCATACATTGTAAAAAAAATTATACACTAATTCATACTATAATAGCATATATTTGGATATATGAGATAAGAATATAGATTTCAGTTGATGTATTTAAGATCTATATAAATTCTATAAAATACAATAAGTTAGA